CTCTTACTCTCTGTCACTCTTACTCTCTGTCACTCTTACTCTCTGTCACTCTTACTCACTCTCAGTCACCCTTACCCATTCATACTCACTCTCTCACTCTTACTCTCATACTCTTACTCTCAATTACTCTTACTCTCAATCACTCTTACTCCCAATCACTCCTACTCCCAATCACTCCTACTCTCAATCACTCCTACTCTCATTCTTACTCTCACTCTTACTCTTACTCCCAATCACTCTTACTCCCAATCACTCTTACTCCCAATCACTCTTACTCTCAATCACTCTTACTCTCATTCTTACTCTTACTCACTCTTACTCTCAATCACTCTTATTCTCATTCTTACTCCTACTCTCACTCTAACTCCTACTCCCAATCACTCTTACTCCCAATCACTCTTACACTCAATCATTCTTACTCTCAATCACTCTTACTCTCACTACCTCTCAATCACTCTTACTCATATTCACCCTTACTCATTCTGTCACCCTTACTCACTCTGTCACTCTTACTTATACTCACTCTTACTCACACTTACACACTCTCTGGCGCTCTCACTCACCTTCAGTCACTCTTACTCTTACCCACTCTCGCTCACTCTTACTCACTCTAGTTAATAAGAACACGCCAATATAAGACAACAAAACGTTTTCAGATTCTTTCTCACCACTTTCCAGCAACTTTTATAATTTATATAAATTATCTTAGGGAATAATACATAAATTATATATTTAAACATGATATTAGTGTTTATTGGAATGCATAAGGAGTCAATTTGTGTTAAAAAGAGCGATTTTTAGAAAATTTGGAAAACTACTTTTTTCTGTTCATATTATAACTAAATGGATTTTAAAGGTTTCACTCAGCCAATATATATCATTCACAATTTATTAATGAATTTTACAAAAAAACATCATAAATTTTATATTTAAACATGTAAAAACTATTTGTTTTACATTTGGAAGAAAATAATTGTAGAAAAACAATTTATAATTAAACCTTTGTGTTTGGATTTTTTGAGTAAAAGTTTCTCAAAGGCTCTCCTGCACCATTCTCAATGCAAATCATTCCCACACCTATGGGAAGAGATAGGCGAACGTTGTGTAGATGATTTGTGTTTGCTGGGTATCCGTTCCCAAGCCAGTAGTGGCTATCAAGGGATGTGATCCGTGACGCAAGTAACTTAAAGGGAGTAGGGAAAGAAAGTTAAGAACTTGATATTATAATTATCACCATCACCAATTAAATATATAAAATCAAAAAGTGCACAGGGGGAGGGGTATTAACACTATACAAGGGGATTATTCACAATATAGTCTTCTGCTGAAGACTCTGGATCCAGAAGCTAGGTGCTGAGTCCTCGGTGCTTTCTTTGTGGCCTCACAACGTGTCTTCTGAGAATGCCGAGCCTACCCTGGCCACAGGTCAGCCAAAACACAGGTCCACTGGGGGCACCGCCGTGGAGGCCGTCAACCACAAATCCAGCCGGTCTGCTGGCAGGTTCCGGACCCGCAACGCTGGTCAGGCCACTCCACGGACGATATTAGGGTAAACGCCCTAGACAGGAGTCTCGTGTGATATCACCAATCACCCTCCTGTCCTCAATACCCCAGTGGATAATCGTCTCCAACAGTCGGTCCCGGGTAATCCTTTTACTGCCACTCCACTGGCAGGCTAACACACCACAGTGTTCTTCCGGGGGGACGACTTCACAACGGCTGCAACAAGGTACAAGGTATGGAGACTGGCTGCCTCGGGTAGACTGACTCAACTTCCATCACAGCAGTCCCAGGTCGACTCTGGAAGCAGACACGTCATCAATAACAGGGACACTAAAACACCTCACTTACAGGCTCAGACACAAACGCCCGACATATCCACTCCATAGATGGCGTTGTAGTCTGAGCACCACCTCACCAGAGGTCAGTGGCGGCGGTGTAGAGTGCTGAACGGGACTGGAAACTGGCCCTCGTAGCTGGTACACGGCGTCCTCACCAGGTGTCGTCGTCCTTTTGGAGGGGGTATCGGGAGCTGACCCACAGATGGCGCGGTCGTCACTGCTCTCTGTGTTCGGACGCTGGATCCGGGTTCGTAACAGTGACGCCATGGCTGGTGATGACTCATAGCTGGTGATGAATCCAAGGCTGGTGATGACTCATAGCTGGTGATGAATCCAAGGCTGGTGATGATGTTATTGCTGGTGGTGACATCATGGCTGGTGGTGACATTATGGCTGGTGGTGACGCCATGGCTGGTGGTGACATCATGGCTGGTGGTGACATTATGGCTGGTGGTGACGCCATGGCTGGTGGTGACATCATGGCTGGTCGTGATGTTATGGTTGGTGGTGACGCCATGGCTGGTTTTGAGACCACAGCTGGTCGTGACGCCATGGCTGGTGGTGACATTAAGGCTGGTGGTGATGCAATGGCTGGTGGTGACGATGCAATGGCTGGTGGTGACGCCATGGCTGGTGGTGACGCCATGGCTGGTGGTGACGCCATAATTGGGGATTATGCCATGGCTGGGGATGACTCCATGGCTGGTGATGACGCCATGGCTGGTAGTGACGCAATGGTTGGGGATGACGCCATGGCTGGTGATAACGCAAAGGATGGTGGTGACACCATGGCTGGTGGTGGTGACGCCATGGCTGATGGTGACGCCATGGCTTGTGGTGACTCCAAGGCTGGTAGTGATGATAATGATGATAGATATATACAAGAGTTGTTACATTCTTGTACAGCCACTAGTACGCGTAGCGTTTCAGGCACGTCCCTGGAATACGTCCCTCACGAAGAATCATTTTTAAAACCAAGTACCCATTTTACTGTTGAGTTAAACAGAGTCTACAATAAGGATTTGCGCCCAGTAAATCCTCCCCGGCCAGGATACGAACCATGGCAAAGCGCTCGCGGAACGACAGGAGAGTGTCTTACCACTACACCACGGAGACTGGTGTGATGATGCTATAGCTGGTGGTGACTCCATGGCTGGTGGTGACGCTATGGCTGAATGTGAATCCATGGATCCTGGTGACGACATGGCTGGTGGTGACGACATGGCTGGTGGTGACGACATGGCTGGTGGTGACGAATCTCCTCTCAACTCCTTATATTAACATTTACTAATAACACTAACACGTCGAATTAAAATCGTTGGTGTATCAGGCATGATATGCTAAATCAGGCATGATTTAGATAGAAATTACCCAGCCATCATGACGCCAAGCGTCGATAGCAGACTGAAACATGAAGTCTTCCACGAATGTTAGAGATTTATAGAGTTCAGTTAATTGTCCTTTCTTTCTAAAATTATTGTTAATTATGAAAGAAGTATTCATTTCGCGAATTGTGCGAATACCTCTTCTCGCAATTGCCTTGCGAGAAGAGATATTATTATTCAACATATTTACTCGTGACGATAGCTTAAATCGTACTCCTTTATTTCCCTCAATACTTATTAGTAAACCAAATTGGTTTAAGATCGAGATCGCTATGAGCGTCTCTGCGCATGCGTGTTCGGGCCTCAAGGTATGCAACCCGTTCTCGCACTTTCTTACAGTCAATATTGACTTATTAAATACGTGCATATGTGACATACTAGTTTACCTTGAAAAGCTTCATAGGAAACACCGACCTTACCTAACCTTCTTAGTATGTTAAGATAAGCATCTTATTGCTTCGTAATTATAATTATTACTTAACCTATACCTATAATAGGTTAAGTAATAACTGTAATTACGAAGCAATAAGATGCTTATCTTAACATACTAAGTAGGTTAGGTAAGGTCGGTGTTTTCTATGAAGCTTTTCAAGGTAAACTAGTATGTCACATATGCACATATTTAATAAGTCAATATTCACTATACGAAAGTGCGAGAACGGGTTGGGGTATGAGGGAGGTGACTTTTCTGCACACGGCTCCGCCACGAGTACACACACATTTACAAGCGCCAGCCATTGCAGATATAATACGTGGTCGTACAGTGCTTCTTACTGTATATTCTCGTTTCTGAGAAGATAATCGCGTACCCGAATTTGACCTTCAACAGCAGTGAACGTCAGGGACTAATTGACGTGATATCGGCGACTGTAAATGTGCCAACAAGCCTACGTTATGTATATTTTATATGTAGTGCACTATCTCATAAATTATTACTGTAGGTAGCTCGTCGTTATGTCATTTACCGACCAAAACACTCATGTTCGTTTCTTTTCACGTTGTTCTCAAGTTTTAATGAATAGTGGAATAAATCTCTAGCCCAGTCAAATTCTATAACATTTTTGTGATTACAGCGTGTTGGTGAGGACAAGCAGAGCAATTCTTCCTCTACACACGATATTCCCTACTTGTGTATCATCCATTATTTGGGCAATGTGATCACGTCTACGAGTATTCGAACAGTGAAACGGGTTTAGTGAAGTCTTCTTACAACTAAACCTTACTGTCTCTCTTTCGTAGATTTCTTTGACTGATGCTAATATTATTTCTATTATGTATTTACATTTCTTATACATATAATATTCTAAGAGAAATTACATAAATCTAATATTTTGTTTCTCAGTGTATAGTAATGTTTCATATATAATTTCCTATGATTTGACAACTTATTTCATTGGCTTAATAATCTTACTATATTATCATCACATTGAATCTACATTTAATTTCTGATTCTATAATCTGTATTGATGTAATTAACCAACTGGTGACGAACCAGCACCAGTCATTATCCTAGATATATGTTATTTCTAGTAATACCCCCCAGTGTTGAAGTTTGAGGATTTAAACTCTCAATTAATTATTATTACAGTCCATTCATGCTCTTCAAATAGTTACCAAATAATCTAACATCCATAGGCACTGGTACCACAGTGTCAGTCTTATAATCCATTTATTTGTTTTCCCTATTTTCTCAAAAGTGGGTGGTCCTTCGAGTATTTCGATTAAGCTTAATTAAATATTAATAGAGTTGAGTTAAATTCCCATTCCACAACAGTTGGTGGTGACGTCATGGCCGGTGGTGACGCCATTGCTGGTGGTGACACCTTGTCTGGTGATGACGTCACGGCTGGTGGCAGCGCTGTGGCTGGCGACAATTCCATGGCTGGTGGTGATGCCAGTTCTGATATTGACTCCATGGCTGGTGGTGAAGCTATGTCTGTTGGTGTCGCCGTGTCTGGGGATGACATTATGGCTGGCTGGTGGTAACGACATGGCTGATGATGATGCCATGGCTGGTAGTGAGGCCATGGCTGGTGGTGACGCCATGTCTGGTGATGATGACATGGCTGATGGTGACGACATGGATGGTGATGACGCCATGGCCGGTCGTGATGCCATTACTGGTGGTAATTCAATGGCTGGTGGTGACGCCATGGCTGGTGGTGACGCCAAGGCTGGTGGTGACGCTATGGCTGGTGGTGATGCAATGGCTGGTGGTGACGCCATGGCTGGTGGTGACGCCATGGCTGGTGGTGACGCCATGGCTGGTGGTGACGCCATGGCTGGTGGTGACGCCATGGCTGGTGGTGACACCATGGCTGGTGGTGACGCCATGGCTGGTGGTGACACCATGGCTGGTGGTGACGCCATGGCTGGTGGTGACGCCATGGCTGGTGGTGACGCCATGGCTGGTGGTGATGCCATGGCTGGTGGTGACGCCATGGCTGGTGGTGACACCATGGCTGGTGGTGACACCATGGCTGGTGGTGACACCATGGCTGGTGGTGACGCCATGGCTGGTGGTGACACCATGGCTGGTGGTGACACCATGGCTGGTGGTGACACCATGGCTGGTGGTGATGCCATGGCTGGTGGTGACGCCATGGCTGGTGGTGACGCCATGGCTGGTGGTGACACCATGGCTGGTGGTGACGCCATGGCTGGTGGTGACGCCATGGCTGGTAGTGATGCCATGGCTGGTGGTGACGCCATAGCTGGTGGTGACGCCATGGCTGGTGGTGATGCAATGGATGGTGGTGATGCAATGGATGGTGGTGATGCAATGGATGGTGGTGACAGCATGGCTGGTGGTGACGCCATGGCTGGTGGTGACGCAATGGCTGGTGGTGACGCCATGGCTGGTGGTGATGCCATGGCTGGTGGTGACGCCATGGCTGGTGGTGACGCCATGGCTGGTGGTGACACCATGGCTGGTGGTGACGCCATGGCTGGTGGTGACGACATGGCTGGTGGTGACGCCATGGCTGGTGGTGACGCCATGGCTGGTGGTGACGCCATGGCTGGTGGTGACGCCATGGCTGGTGGTGACGCCATGGCTGGTGGTGATGCAATGTCTGGTGGTGACGCCATGGCTGGTGGTGACGCCATGGCTGGTGGTGATGCAATGGCTGGTGGTGACGCCATGGCTGGTGGTGACGCCATGGCTGGTGGTGACGCCATGGCTGGTGGTGACTCCATGGCTGGTGGGGATGATATCGATGGTGGTGATGCAATTTATTTTTCTACCACTGACGTGGCCACACAGTTACAATGCTAACCAGCATATATATATTTTCTTCTGTCCTCCATGGACAGGGAAAGAGATGTGTTAAACATATAGTTCAAGGGTTTATTGAACAATCAGCCACAGAAGGTGATACGGTACGTTTAAAAGGCTAAGCTAACCTACATGCGTAAATACATAGATACACAGATTTACGTATGCCCTACATAAAGTGTTTGATGTGTCTTTTACATAGTGTCATTAATGTGCATTTACAAAGGTGAAATGTAATTCTGATCAGCTTCCATATAAACTTTATACACATACATATCCATACACACACACATGCATTCACATACATTTGTCTCTTTTACTCTGACAGGGTGAAATAGCTGATAGAGAAACTAGTGTGCAATTAAGCACTTAATCACTGAAGGTTATTAAGGTGCTTTTACAAGCTCAGGTTATATAGTTGCATCACGTACATACATTGTATAATTGATACATCATATGGTTAACCTTGGGTACAAGTCCAATATATCATCAATTGTTCCAGTACTCATATAGTAATTACACATTTCAGAATACCTTAGCCCAGGAGGGCAAAAGTCAGTCAATATGGGACATTCTACAATATAATGTTGAAGAGTGTGCATGTTTTCTCTTTCACAAAGTTGACACATTGTGTACTTGACATTTGGGTTTTGAGAAAGCTGCCAGATACGTCTATATCCCAGTCGTATTCTGGCCACTATAACATCACATTGCCGGGTTCTTGTTCTATTAGTCCCATATGTAACTGTCTCCTCACGATATCTGTCATAATATTTAATGCTACAACTTTCTGGTCTTTGAGAATTTGTTAGGTCGATGAGATCTTCATTAGATATTTGTTTAAGTATTCTCTTTGTCACTGCTAGTGAAACACACATATCAATTTCTACCACTGGTTTTCTACAGGCTGTCTTTGCAAGCATATCAACAGTGAGATGAGGCATAACAGCCTTGAGATGCAAACATGTGATGGTATCCATAGGAATTTAATTTCAAATCTGCTTTCTTTAGCAGCTGTGACGGTGTCCACCCCTATATTTCTTCCTTCCCAGCTTAGAAGAGTCATATCTCCATAGCCTAAGTATTCTCTGATGTTCAGGGAACATTTTCATGTGTGGGAAAGCGTGGAGCGTGATTGAGCTCGCTATAAAATGGCCAGCTAAGTTTAATAATGCAAGGGGCTTACGCCTTTTGAGGCACAGGACGGTGTAGAGCCATCCTGTTTCCCGCCAAGACGTCCTGACGCTTCTCGACACCTGATTGGCCAGGTGAGGTCACGTGCCGGAAGTGACCAATGACGAGAGCCCTCGGGCGGTGTGACATCACGAGGCGGAGGGCTTGGGGCAGTTAGCGCCTGGGCGGGAAGAGTATGTCACGAGCCGTCATAGAGGGAAGACGCGCTCGAGCGAGCTCCGGATCTAGAGAGTCCTTACCAGTAGATTTAAGCTCCGCTTCGATTCTGCAGACAGTCTGAGAAGCCATCCAACTTCCGTGGAGTGCCCAGAGGAAAGGACGGACCGGATTAGAGAGCAAAGAGCTCTGTCAAGAGTCTGCAGCAGAGGGAACTTTGGGCTGGTGACGTCTGGGATGCCAGAGGACCTGGTATTCTACATCAAGCGAGTAGCTACGGCCGGGCCAAATTTACTGGCAGTGAGGCGAGGGAAGCTGTGCTGGACTGCGAGGTGTCGGCAGTGCCAGTGAGAGTGGAGGACGACGACAGAGGAACCTGTCTCCAGTACCCCAGAGAAGAGGAGGAGGAAGGCAGTACCTGTTGGGAATTAGCACGGTGAGGACACGTTACCACGAAGGCGACGGAGGAACCTGTGTGTGTGGTGGGAACTGGTCGTCGGCAGAGCAGACGCCAGGACCTGGAACCTTAACATCCCTCAACAGAGGACAAGTCAACTTCGTGGTTGGAGTGAAATAAGGTAGGTAATTGTCCCTCCCTTTACCCCTTTTGATCTAGACGAGCTAGAGTATTTTATATGTTGTGAATATTTCTACTCATCATTTTATTGTCTAAGTAACAGAATATTAGGCTAGGAGCCAAGAACTCATTTAGGCATGAGTTGGTGTGTGTGTGTGAGCATTAAGGTGGGGATGTTAGTGATCCTGGAGGTGGTAGCTGGTGTGCAAAGAGCCAGCAACGAACTCTGAAGTGCCAAGCTGATTGCATTGCTAGAGGCGTGGGAAAGTCACGACGTTCTGACAGTTAGAGGCATCAACTGATAGTGTTGCCAGAGGCGCGAGGTTGTGCCCGCCCCCTGACAGGTGGACCCAGTCAGCTAACCGTGTTGCCAGGAGCCGTGCCGCGAGGAGTGTTGCCGCCAGCGGATGATATCCCCCTTTTGACATTTCTTTATACAATTATATGTGTATATATTCTTTTGCTTCAGTAAACTTTTAAACTAACTGATGAGTTTAAGTGAGCCTCCAATCTCTGGGGCTATATATATATTTGAGACCATTAGTGATACCTTGTACTGCACATGATATTGCATCCTTGATCAAGATAACCATTAAGACCACTGACGTGTTGCTGGGACACGAGCATAAACACCCAGCTGGCGACCTGAGTAGACCAGATCTCGAAGAAAGCGTTCCAGTGTCAGGACAGGTAGGTCTAGGTGAGTTATAAGAAGCTTGAACCTCCCCACTCGCTAGGGGTGTATAAGGGCAGCCCTTAGTTGACTGGGGGAGCCCAAGGGCGAGCAGTGGCGCCCGGTACTGAGGGGCTAAGACCCGTGGGACGACCCTAACCACAGGTTGGAAGGGGTGAACCCTGACACAGCTAAAACATTCATTCGAATATCACTGACTATTTTCTGTGTGTCACTTCTATGTGCGTTCAATGCCAGGAGTGCACTCTGCGAGTCACAGTATATAAGTCCACTGCCTTTGTCTTTTAAAAATTCAGTGGCAAGGTATATGCCTGCAAGTTCGGTTTGAGTTGTACTTGCACAGTCATTGATGCGCTTCATTGCTGTATGTACGAGAGAAGATTGTTCAAATATATTGCATGCACATCCGATACATCGTCCACCTTCTTCTACAGAGCCGTCGGTATAGCACTGATACACATCGTTACCCATACTCAGAGTACTTTCAGTGATGCTTTTCAGTGTTAACTGTTTTAATAATGTAGTGTGCACACTATCTTTTTGGGCGCATTTACAAAGTCAACTGATAGATCCCAGTTATCCCATGGAGTAATTGGTTGATTAATCATTAATTGAGTTGGGTACATATTTAATATTTTGATGGTGTTGGTTACCTTGTAGAACCAAAATACATAATCAGATTTTGTTCTTCTTCTATAGACTTCAGGTGACTGTAGCATATTAGAAAGTTTAGCTTGAAACTTCATGAGTTGTCTAGATCTACTCAATGCCTTCACGCTGAAAAATGTGCTAATAGACAAAATTCTCTCTCATTTATGGAAGGTAATTTTAACTCTGATCTCATATTAACTATTCTCGTGGACTTTGGAGCCCCAAGAATGAGACGCATAGCTTCATTTTGCAAGGTTTCAAGAGATTTCAGCTCTTTGTCAGTATACAGTGTGAGATGTAGAGCATTATAGTCAATCACAGAGCGTATAAATAATACATAAAACATTCTAGCAAGTCTCACGTTAATTCCATGATTGACACCAACAAGGACCCGCAAGGGCTTTAATCTCTCCCACAGTCTCCTCTTGAGAGAAGAA